TTCCCTTCCTTTTAAAAACTTCCCCCCCCCTAGTTTCAGTACCTACTTGCATAGATAAAGATAGAATATATTTATCTTCTGTTTGCCTCTTTATTGCTTTTTTAAAAGTTCTCATTGAAATCTAACTTGAAGTTTGCAAACATCGTTTTTTTAAAAAAAACAACACACGTTTAAAATGGGTTAAAGTTTTAGGGGGTTCCCGATTCCATCTCTGGAATGGATGCAGCCCCCAAGCCGCCCCCAGCCCTTGACCCTGCCTGAATGACTCCTTGAAAACCATTCTGATCAGACAGTGAACACCACGGTGTGTTGTTTTTATGTTCACTCTAGTGGAAAGCGGTGGGGTTTGTTGTTGTTTTTTAGATCTCCCCTTCCCATAAATTTGAGCAACGGTGCCCCCCCCCTTAAGAACACTTCCAGTTTGGATCCAAACCTCCTTTCCAGAGAGTCAGGCTAAAAAGGTCTGATCTATTACAGTTTGTTTGTTTGTTTTACCAAGAAACGACACTTACGGTATTTCTTGCACCCGGTTTCTCTGAATCCTACTTAACAGGGGCAGGAAAGGACGCAGGTCAGAGATCTGCTTCCTAGCCCGAAGCCACAGGCCAGCCAAGCCGGGAGTCTTAGGGAACACAGCGGGTTTCCCGGGCAGCCTCGAACCTCCCCTTGGAAGGGAAATCGTCGGCTTCAAACCGACTCAGTCCCTCCCGAATCCATCGGGCCTTGCCGGGATTCAAGTCCCTAAGCTTCGGCTGAAGCGGCTTGCGGATCGGGCTTCTCCCTCCGTTTTCAGCACATGGACCTCCGGCTCAACTAGTTGGCAAATCGGAACGGCTAATTATTCCCTATCTGTGGGGTGGGGGTGGGGGAGTGGCCCACCCTTGAAGCCTGGCGACCCTTGGAAGGAGGCGGGTGGGGGGGTCACAGAAGGCCGAGGGTCGTTCCCCCCCAATCAATCAACCCTCCCCTTCCTAACGCAACCCCCCCAACCTACAGGTGGTCTTTTTGTCCGGCGTGGACCCCAAGGGGGGGGCGCGGGCGGGGCGCCCCAGGCGGGATCGGCGTCCGGGGCGGGGGGCGTCTCCGCCGCGAGGGAGGGGGTCGGTCAAGGCGTCAATTGTGGAAAAAGGCGTTCAGCTCCTCGTACATGGGGCCCCGGTCGTGGTGGAGGTGCATCTCGTAAGGCAAAACGTTCTCGGAGTGGACGCCCCCTCCACCTCCGCCGCCCCCTCCGCCTCCGCCGCCGCCGCCCCCTCCGCGCATGGCGGCGGCGGACCCCCCGAAGACGAGGTTGTGGGCGGCGGCGGCGGCGGGGGGCGGTCGGGCGGCGGGCAGGGCGGCGTAGTGCATAGAGTAGTGGTAGTTCTTCTCGGGGTCTGGGGAGGAGTCCTGCTTGAGGGAGAAGTTGCCGTTGACGCAGAGGGGCGGCGGGGGGCTGAGGGGCCCGTCGTACTCGGAGCTGTTGTAGTCGGGCGAGGCGTTCCCGTAGAGGGACTCGTAGGCGGCGGCGGCGGCGGCGGCGGCGCAGTAGGCGTGGGCGCGGAGGCCGTGGGAGCTGGCCATGGTGCTGGAGGCGCACTGCGCGCCCGAGAGCCGCGCGCAGGGGTAGGGGTAGGGGTGGACGGCGAAGGGCGAGCCGGGCCCGTGGTAGCGGCCGGCCTCCGGGCCCTGCTCGGTGAGGAAGTTCCGGGAGTTGAGCTGGAGGCAGCCGGCCACCAGGTTGGTGGTGGGCTGCGAGAGGCCCTTGCAGAGGGTCTGCACGTAGGAGACCAGGTCCGGCCGCTTGCCCGAGCGCAGGATCTCCGACAGCGCCCAGATGTAGTTCTTGGCCAGGCGCAGCGTCTCGATCTTGGACAGCTTCTGCGTCTTGGAGTAGCAGGGCACCACCTTGCGCAGGTTGTCCAGGGCGGCGTTCAGGTCGTGCATGCGGTTCCGCTCGCGGGCGTTGGCCTTCTGGCGCCGCAGCTTGGAGCGCTCCAGGCGCGCCTTGGTCATCTTGCGCTTCTTGGGGCCCCGCTTCTTGGGCCGGTCGCCCTCCGCCTCCTCCAGGCCTTCCTCCTCCTCCTCCTCCTCGTCGTCGTCCCCGCCCAAGTCGTTCTCCTCCTTCACCTCCCCCAGGGAGCCCTCGGCCTGGTCGTCCAGCGGGCAGCCCTTGGCCTTGCGCTCCTCCTTGTCGCTCCGCTCATCGTCGTCGTCGTCGTCGTCGCAGTCGTCCGCCCAGCTGGAGAACTTCTGGACCTCGGGGAGCAGGCTGGGCTCGCTGAAGAGCCGCGTCAACATGGTGGCTGGAGAAGGGGGACGGGGGGAGGGACCGTCACACACCAGGGGGGAGGGGGAGGGAGGGAGGCAGGGGGACAAGAAAGAAGGGCTCAGTTTGGCTCCGGAACATCCCCGCCTCCCCCCCCAGTCCCGCCTCCCTCGCTTCCCAGCTCTGCACTCCGGGCACGTCGGTCGTCGCGTGACCCGCACCCATCCGGACGGGCCCAGCAGATCTAAGCGGGAGGTGGGAACCGCCGAAGCGCCTGCCGGTCTTTCCTGCCCATTCCAGCAGAGTCTGGACCAGCTCCTTCCAACCCCCAACTATAACCACCACCACCACAACCACCACAAAAATGTTGTATTTAGATTTAGATTTAGATACACGTTCAAAAAAACCCAACACAACCTCCCCCGCCGCAACTG